CTTCCCTTAAGGCCTTATGAAGTTGGTGGCATTTTCATCTTTCTGTCACACCCACTGTCACACACACACTTCGGCATGGTAGCACCGTTACAAAGTGTGGACACCAAAACACAGATCTCACCTCAAAGGGAACAAGAGACAGTTTATTTTGAAGCCAAATATGAATGACCATGGCCTGAGAATACAAGTTCAAGTTGTCCCAGATATCATGGTCGAATGTAGTGGCTTAATGAAGTTTTTATAGAAGAAAAGAAAATTACAAATCAAGGCCCTATTAGAACACATTCTTGAAAACACTGGAGAAGTAAGGAAGAGCAAATCAGGATAAATCCTGCTTAGTTTTAGGTGTCTCTGATTACATTCTTAGCTGTGGAATTGGTACAAGGCAGTGGTTTGTTACACATTCTGGAGGAGTTTACCTAGTAGTAACAAGGGTAGATGTTAGGTCAAGTGCAGCTGGGTAGTGAGTGGCTGTAGGTGTCTAAACATAGTCTAAGAAAATCTGGCTGCAGACTTACAGCATTCAAACTCTCCATAACCACAGAAATTTTAATGAGTTAACCAACCTCATAAAATTTTAACACAAGTGTGGGATTCTCCCCATTCCCCTGGAATTTCCGGCCTCAGTGAAGGAGCTCCTCTGGTCTCCTGAATGTCCTCCACCTTTCCCACTGAAACCAGAGTGGAGGGAGTTTGAGAAAGAACTTGCAAATGGGTTGAGTCTACCCAGCCTTTTCAGACCGCCATGCTGACACTCACCGGGCAGTACTTAGCATTTTCAAATGTTACCCAGTGTCTCGTCTTTCTCTCTGCTTCAGCACAATTGGCTCATAGGCTGCTTTCAGGTTACACATTACACTTCAGCTTTCTGGTAGGTTCTAGAATGTAATTTTCAATTTTTCTGCTTTTGTGTTGTTTTTAGGACAAAGCAATGTTCTTAGGAAATGTATACATCTTAATCAGAATCAAGAATTCTTTAAAATTTCAGCCTAATAGTTAGTAATGCCTAATTAGCAGATGTTAACAAGTGGTTAAACTACAGTCCGAGGCTTGTGGAGCTGCTGAAAGTAAACAAAAACCCAGGAGACTTCAGAACTACTGATGGGAAAAAGTTGTCACAAACATAAACTTTCCTTGAAGAATCTCAAGGTGATTTTAACAAGAAAAAATTTTATGCTTTGTATATCCAAGATCCACAAATTAGAAATTCTTGTATTTTGTTTTAAATTTAGGCCTAGTTGTTGCGTGGAAAGCTATACTGACTTTTCTATTTTCTGTTAACATCAACCACATGAAACACTTGCAAAAATGTTGAAAAATAAGCTGTATGACTGATGAATATTAGCTTCAATAAAAAATAATAATAGAGAGATCTTAGCCAGAAGCAATATAATATCAATTAAATTAAAAAATCTAGCCGGGCGGTGGTGGCACACGCCTTTAATCCCAGCACTCGGGAGGCAGAGCCAGGCGGATCTCTGTGAGTTCGAGGCCAGCCTGGACTACCAAGTGAGTTCCAGGAAAGGCGCAAAGCTACACAGAGAAACCCTGTCTCGAAAAACCAAAAAAAAAAAAAAAAAAAAAAAAAATCTACTTGAGTCTAAATTTTGTATAAACCTCAGAATTTCAAAAGTAGGAGAATAGAAAGTACCTGCTGTGTGGTAAAATCATTGATTAAAATTATATAAATATAGGGACTGTAGAGAAAGTTCTATAGTTTTTGCTGTTTCTGTGGAGGACTAGAGTTGGTTTCCTACCACTCATTTGGGCAGCTAACAACTGCCTGGATCTCTAGCTCCAGTGTGTCCTATGATCTCTCCTGATCTCTATAGGTACCTGCAAGTCTCTGCCCGTATTCATACTTCACACCAACAAATCTCTATAAGTAATAAAAATTTAAAAAGAACTTTAAAAATTATACATATGCATAACAAAGCAAAAATATACAGGGGAAGGAGTGTATATATATCAAAGCATTTAGTAATATATCCCAAGGTACTCCAGAGATACTCTTGAACCAATAGTGAGCTTGTTAATTGGTAACCCCATAATCAATGGACATTAGTGGTTTTCAATCAAATCAATGGTGGTTCTAAAAAATATGTGCAAAGACAGTAAATTCTAAATAGCTTGATAGTAAACTAGTAAAGGTATATTTCATGAAGGTTTTAAGTATTTTAGTGAATTGTGTGAACATATGAGAAGCTAAATCTATGACATGAAAACACTTGAGGTGATTGACATCAAAGTCATGGCATACTGTAGCTAGAGTTTTCCTGCCTGGCCCACAGTCAGGACAAATCTCTCTCACCTGCCAGTCCCACAGCCGTCAGACCCAACCAAGTAAACACAGAGACTTATATTGGTTACAAACTGTATGGCCTTGGCAGGCTTCATGCTAACTGTTCTTACAGCTTAAATTAATCCATTTCCATTAATCTATACCTTGCCACGTGGCTCGTGGCTTACCGGCATCTTCACATGCTGTTTGTCATCGTGGCAGCTGGCAGTGTCTCTCTGACTCAACCTTCCACTTCCCAGCTTTATTCTCCTCCTTGTCCCGCCTACACTTCCTGCCTAGCCAATGGCCAATCAGTGTTTTATTTATTGACTAATCAGAGCAACACATTTGCCATACAGACCATCCCACAGCAGCATACCATGAATGCCCAGCAGCCACTGTACAAATTAACAAAAATTTGTCTCGAAAAGTTAGTATCTTGAGTTTGTGTGTGTGTATGTGTTAAAATAAAAACTACAATTAAAATGCAATAGTTCTAAAGTTTTGGATCAACTTAAGGGAATTGGGAAGTAGTTGTACCCTAGCCTCTCTGGGAAAATTGCTACTTTTCAAATTCATGGTATGATGGATCATCTGCATTTTCAATTGGATTGAACTTAAAATTACCACAGAGACACACTTTATGAAGGAGTTATAGGAAGGTTTAACTGGAGAGGAAAGATCCTCCTTAAATGTGGGTAGCTACTGTAACAGGTCCCCACACCTTAGCACAACTGATGCCATGTTAGAGGTACCATTCTGACCTTAAAAGCCAGAACACCACTATTTTGACCTTAAAAGCCATCACCTGCCAAAATGGAAGCAAAGATCTAGTCCATAGTTCCAGGAAAGTCCTCAAGGAAAAAGTCCCGAAGTGTGCTAAACTTGCCTTTTGGCTTCTGTAGTTCTGCTTCTTGCTAACTGACAACCAGGGTGTGATTTTTGTGCATAAAAGACAAAAGATTGTAAGGCTCTGAGCTGCATGATTTGAGCAAGTTTCCTATGCAGTCATCAGCCAGCAATAAAGACTTACCTAGCAACATTACATCTCCTGTCCTGGAGTCCAGGATTGAGTAAAAAGGAGAAAACAAGCTGAGCACCAACATTTCATTTTGTCTCTGCTTCCTGACTGTGGATGCAATATTACCAGCTGTCCCCCACTCTTGATGCTACAACTTGCTTGCTATGGTGACTGTGACTTCTAACAGAAGAAATCCCCCTTCTTCAAACTATTTTGTCATAACAACGAGGAGAGGAACACATGGCTTATTGGGTTTTGATTTCTTCTTGTAGCTAATATCACGTATTTCTACACATGCAACTAAAAGCTGTATTGGCATGTTCATCAGATGAATTTTCAAATCTGAATATATGAATCACAATTTATTATCATACCAAAAAGTTGGCATGAATATGAAGTTGAGGATTGGGTGGAAGATGAACATTATTAGTGTTGTGTTGCTTGTAGGTATTGCTTACTTGTATGTGATGAAAACCTCAAAAATTCTTAGTAAAGATCAATAACACTTATCCAAAAAGGAATTGAAGGATCAGGGAGGAGAAGAAACTTAGAATTTGTATCAATGTCTCTTTGACCACACACCATTTATAATTTGATTTTATGATCAGAAATCCCACTGATCAGCATATGCTTCACCGGGAACCTGGAGATACAACCTTATTCCACAAACTTCCTTGGCAGCTCACCAGACACTGTTCCTCATAGAATCCTCTGACATAGCTTAAAACTGAGGCTTCTATGCATGCATTCATTTTATGTGAATCTCAAGTTTGTAATATTTGTCACATACAAAGGCAAATTTCTGATCCTAATGTAGCATATCCACCCTCCAAGTAGATTCATTTTTCAGAATGTGAAAGGATCAAGAAAGGTGCATGTGGTCAGCTATCCAATATGGATAGAGAGCTGTTTTTTTGTTCATTATAACCTGTCTTTTACTGAGACTAGAATATAACAGAGGTGAGTGAAATACTCCCATTAATACTTCCCATCAAACTCCAGTTTAACCAAAAAAAAAGATAGAATTTTCTTTCTTGTTCTATTTGAAGGTTTGAACACCTACCCAGTGTAACAATTTCTGTATTGATTGAATCAATAATATGCTCACATTTTTGGGAGTTAACTTTTTGCTGGTGGAGAATTTCATCTACATGTTCAGTTTCTCATAAGGATATCAGTTATATATAATAATCTGATCATCTGTTGGTACATATTTCTCATCTAATTTAACAGAACAAAATTTGGGTTTTTTGAAATTTCTGTGCTATCCAAACTATCAGAACTAAATGATCAAATACATTATCTGTCCAGAAAAGTGAGGAGTATGCTCCCTCCTTTATTTCTAATTATTATGAATTACTCTGATTTATATATATTTTAAATTTGTAAGCCAAAATTCTCTTTGGCAATAATTGGGTTATCCTCTGCATGTATCTTGTAAGCAAACCTTCTAACTTGATTTAAAAATATTATGTATGACTCATATTTTTCAAAGCACAGACTTTGTCCTTTCATAACTCAAGGATGTGCAGTAAGACCCCATACAAGTAATGTTGGCCCCTCAGTGAGAGCGTAGCACCTTCTGTGCTCCTTAGTTATCATCGACTCATTCATTATTGGATGTGAACTGAACACAAAGTGCTTTTGTAGGAAAAGGGAGCAGTTGTTTTGAAGGTTGGTGATGTTGGTGTTTTTCAGAAAGGCCCGAGAGGATCTGCTGAAAACTCAGAAGGAACGGGACTTCCATCGCATGCACCACAAGCGCATCATGCAAGAAAAGAACAAACTGATCACTGACCTCAAAGGGTGAGATGCTCATGTTTGTTGAAGAGTTGTTTTAGCTCTTGGGATATGACTACGGGGGGACTGATGAAATAAAGTGGTTCTTTGAAGTTTATTGGATAGGAAATTTAGGCCCTTGCATTGGAGGAATAGTCACACCATTGGAGAGTGTGACTGAGGAGGTAAATAAAAATATAGGAAAATGTACTCTGCTGTTCCTTTGTCAGTCAAGACACAGTCCCTATAAGACTGGTGTGAGAGAAGGGCCTCAAAGGTGTATTTCAGTGAGTTGAATTCTGAAGAGTGGCTAAGCTGTAGAGTGGTGTCTTCAGGCTGCCCTTGTGAGACAGTGTCCTACGTGCAACAGAACCAAGTCATGAAGGAAAATGGAATGTTCACCAGATGAACCATGGAGGACAAAGAACAGACTGAGCTTAGGAGGCATATCCTAAATTAGCTGGAATTTATAAGAGCAATTTCAGAAGCAATTTTGGAGATGTTCTTCAGATTTCCCTCCTTCATTAGCTTCCTTCAATTCTTTTTCTATAAAACAACAAATCCGTTTATAACCATCAAATAAAATTGTCTTTTGTTTGCTCTAAGATCATACCACCTAATCTAACTTTCTGTGTTGACATGGATATTATAAATACCATATCCAATATAAACCCTAGGTATTTATATTTAAATATCATACCCACTAAATATGCAATTAAAAGGGACATATTAAGCTAGTAGTTATTTTTATTATGTATAGTTATAACTATTACATAATACCTGGTAAGAAGCAATTTAAGGATGGGAGTGCTTATTCTGGCTTATAGATGGAGGGATACATGCTATCATGTCAGGGAAGGCATGGAAGTAAGGGGTGGGATGCTGGCTGGTCACACTCATCTGCTGTCAGGAAGTAGAGTGTGAACAGGAAGTAGGGCCAGGGTATACAGCCTCCAGGCCTGCACTAGTGACTGACTTTTCCTAGTAAGACTCAAACTCCTGAAAATTCCCCAAACTTCCCTAACAACATTAATATCTGTAGATCAACTATGGGAATTCATGAAGCTATGAGGAACATTTTATAATTGAATTCTAAGACTTTTGTGCCTCATGGGCTACCATCTCATAGTACCAAATACCTTTTTTTTTTTTGGCTTTTGAATTTGCAAAGTCCTCACAGTAATTATTCCAGAACTGTTCAAAAGTCCCCACTCAGCCGGGCGGTAGTGGCACACACCTTTAATCCCAGCACTCAGGAAGCAGAGGCAGGCGGATCTCTGTGAGTTCGAGGCCAGCCTGGGCTACAGAGTGAGTTCCGGAAAGGCACCAAAGCTACACAGAGAAACCCTGTCTTGAAAAACCAAAAAAAAAAAAAAAAGTCCCAACTCATTTGGAGCTCAAGGCAATTTCTTTACTGTAAGGCTTTATAAAATCAAAAGGCAAGTTACATATTTACAATGCATAATGATATAAGGTAAATACTCCCATCCCAAAGGGAGGGATGGTGGTATAACAAGGCATCACCAAACCCAAGCAAACTGAAACCAAGCAGGGTGCAGGAAAAATCCTGCAGGTACAATGTGACATCTGGGGTTTGTGATGGAATTTTCTATGCTATGAAGGTCTTGAGTAGCTCCGCCCCTGGAGGTCTGCCAACCGCAGCACATGTAGCCCCCCCCTCCCCCCCGCCCCAGTAGATTTACCATAGTTTTTACATCTCCAACATCCTAAGGTTTCCATTGCAAGGTAGGCTTACCATATTTTTATACAAAAAATTCATATATATGTAAGAGAATACTGTGCACAAATGGAATGAAATACAGTTGCCCATATATATGACACAGAGTAACCTGAAAAAACGTGTGCTGGGTGCAAGAAAAGAGCTCCCAGTGAGGAAATGTTCTGTGACACCAAATATGTGATTCCGATGTTTCTAGGATGTAAGGAATACTACATTTTAATAAAATATCATCTCGTGGATCTACACGTTAATCTAAACTGTTAACTCTGACTCTTGTGATCTATATATTTTATTTCATATAAATTTCAGTAAAAATTAAAGCCTAGTTTGAAGGCATTTCCCAATCAAACACATTTTTGAAGGCATTTATGTCATATATTAAGTAGTGTTATCTTCTGTGAGACATTAAAGCTAGAGAAATGGCTTAGGACTTAAGAACATGTGCTGCTCTTCTCGAGAACCTGAGTGCCTTTCCCAGCACCCATATCATGCAGCTTACAAGCATTTGTGACTCCCTCTCCAGGGGACCTGACACCCTCTTCTGGTCTCTTTGGGCACCTGCACACATGCAGCATACAGTCACATGGACACATAGACACATAAATTAAAACTATATCTTTATACACTTAATTTTCTTAATATGGGATCAATGAAACATGTTTTCAAGACTATCCTTCATTTTGGTATACATGAAACTTCTGGGTTTTGGTTTAATCTATTGTTTGTGGCCTTTGTTTTCTTGAGAATTGTTTTTAATTGATATAATGATATTTATTTAATTTTTTTGAAATTTGGATTTCAGTTTTGTGAAACAAGGTGTTATGCACCTTGAACTCACTATGTGGCTGAGATCGGCCTTGAGCTCTTGATCCTCTGGCCCTTGACTCCTGAGTGTTAGGATTATAGGCCTGAAGTACTATTCTGCCTGGCAATACATACTTTCTAAATTTCAAAGAACTACATCTGTTTTCTGAGTATATATTTGAATACAGCAAAAAGTGCTGCTGGGAATAGAAAACTAGGTAAGGAAAGTGTGGTTTCCTATCCTGTACTTACCCCATACCCAAGGTAGATGAAATTACACAGGAAATAACACTTCTGTGCTTCTTGGCTCTGGTATGTTGACCTTTATATGGCTACTCATTTATATTCATATGCACACAAAGATGGAATGAAAGAAGAGAAAAAGGTTTAGATGTTAGACGAAAATCACTGATGTAACTGTTTTACCTTTTCTGATGACACAACGGGCCTTTTACTTTTGTAGGCTGAAACTGCATTATGCATCTTATGAACCAACTATTAGGGTGTTGCACGAGAAGCATCACGCTTTACTGAAGGAGAAAATGCTGACCTCCTTGGAAAAAGACCGAGCTGTTGGGAAGGTAAGGAAAGAGGCAGTGAATTTACCTTGAGGCAACTTTTTTTTTTTTTTGGTTTTTCGAGACAGGGTTTCTCTGTGTAGCTTTGCACCTTTCCTGGGACTCACTTGGTAGCCCAGGCTGGCCTCGAACTCACAGAGATCCGCCTGGCTCTGCCTCCCGAGTGCTGGGATTAAAGGTGTGCGCCACCACCGCCCGGCTGTGAGGCAACTTTTAATCATTTGTTTACGGTGCATGCAACTGTACATGTGTACATATGTGTGTTTGTGTATATGAGTGTGGGTCCACAAGGGTGTGCATGCATATGGAGGCCAGAGGACGTCATGTTTTATTCTCGGACATGCTGTCTACCTCTTTTGAGACTGGTCTCTCATTGGACTGCAGCTCACCAATTATGCTAGACTGGTTGATCAGTGAGTCCCAGGGATTTTCCTGTCTCTCTATCCCCAGTTCTGGGATTACAAGTATGTGCCACCATGCCGGACATTTTTATGGGGAGTCAACTCAAGATTTTGTGGCAAGCAGTTTGCCAACTGAGCTGTTGCTCCAACCCTTAGTCATTCATTTCTTTTTTTTTTATGCGTACAATAATGGTTTTGTTTTCTGAGATAAGTTTTAAAACATTATCCAGAAATTTGCATATAAAATTTATTTGGAAACATGAAGAAAAAGTATCTTATCTATTAAAAAAACCCATGATTATTGTTATTTAATTAATTAACATATAACTTAAGCATGAATTAATAGATCATTAAAGTACAATTAGAAGAAAATATTCAGCCATTGTAGTTAAACAATGACAACTTGGATTTAAATGCCAGCTTTGACTGCTACTCACATCAGCATCCGACAAGTTACTTAGGTGATACATAGAGTTTGAGAGTGACAGTTGGCCTGGTTAAGTATGCTCTAAGGACCTAAAATGTTGTGCACCCACAGTCCTCAAAGGTTGACTTGGGACAGTGGCTCTGATTTTGCTGTATCCCACCAATTGGGTTTAATGATGCAGCCTCTCATGGAAGTATGAAAAAGGGGAAGCAAGTCTTGTCAAGAGCTTTTACACAATAGTAAGAAATTGAGAAAGATTGCTAGAAACTCAGAGAAGATGTGGTTTCCAGGGGAGGGAAAAATCTACTGAATTTCTTTTGTCCATCATTTTTATAGGACATTAGCAGAAACTGGACAGAGGCTCTACTGAGTTTGGTTAATTCTTTGGTTTGTCATGGGCCAACCAAGTGAGCAGTCCACAAGTTCTAGATGTGCACCCCCAGGCTAACCAAGGAATGCTTATGTGCTATTTGAGAGCTCTTCATCCAGTTAGCTGCTCATTTGAAGAGCACCTGTATTCGTGTTGATTCTGGCTTTGTTAGTAATCGCCTTCGACAGCTGTTGCTTACTTGGCCAGCTTCTCTACCTCAGTCCTTGCATGTGCCTCACTAACTGTTAATTGTTCTGGTTCTATGGTTTTGTAAGTTGCTGATGTTGACTGTCCGTTAGTCATTAGTCCTTGGCTGGTGTTGCTGTCTCTGACCCTGAAGGTGTCCTAAGTGTTAATTATATAGAGCTCTTTTGGTTCTCACAGCTACCAAGAAGTAGCTGCAATGTTCTTGGTTACCTTCGTGTCCATGGGATAGTCTAGGTTTCATTCTTCATTGTCTCAGGCCTGTTAGAAGCCATCCTCACTTACAACTTAGTCTGTTAGAATAGCTGCGTTAAAAGCCATACATTAAAAGCAAGAATCTGTGATAAACAGCAGTGCCTACCACACGTTTAGCAGCTGGCCCCGTGTCACTGACCTTGCTTCCTAGAACCCGGTGATCTCTCATCAGGTCCACTTGGCCATCTCATATCCAGCTGTGAGCTCTTATTTACCTTCTTTAGTTCTCCACACTGTGTTTTTAACCCTGATCTTCCCTTTACCTTCAGTCTCTGCTTTCACTCTAACATATGTGAGCTGTTTTCGCCTGAATCATTCCACCTACTACGTTTAGAGCAGTGGTTCTCAACCTGTGGGCCGAGACTCCTTTGGCGGGGTCCAATGACCCTTTCATAGGAATTGCATATCAGGTATCCTGGACATTGGATAGTTACATTGATATTCCTAAGAGTAGCAAAATTACAGTCATGAAGTAGCAATGAAAATACTTTTATGGTGGGCACCATGACAACATGAGGAACCAACTGTATTAAAGGGTCACTGCATTAGGAAGGTTGAGAACCACTGCTGTACAGTGTTATCTCCTGCTTCCCAAGCCCTTAGAGGTCAGAGATAGTGTTAGTAAGTGGTAGTCACAAAAAATAATATTGCTGTGAAAATGAGATAAGTGAGTGAAAATGCCTTGGAAATTACTCTCAAATATGTATTTGGTGCTCTTAGTTAAGGTTGAATTTTCCTCATTTATGCTGAGTGACACTCTTTCCTTCTATTGAAGTGTTCATGTGTGTATGTGTGTGTGTGTGTGTGTAGGCTTAGGACTAGGATTTGGGGAGGGACTGTTGGCATAGAATTAAAAAAAAGAAAGCAAAATGTTGACATGCCACATTAAAATATGTAACAGTTTGTTAAAGAATCTATGACTGTGACTATACTGAATATTCTTTTGTTACTTCCTGCACATTTTTTAACCCAAACTCAGAAGCTATGAAAGCTGTCATGATGGTAATACAATTCTTATAATATTATTAAGATGTTTTAAAAATAGTGGTATTTTGGTCTCTTCATTGAAATTCTTAGCCATTAAAATATAAAACATCACTGTTTCAATGCCTTTTGTACTTGAATTTCAATTTTATATCCTTGAATATTTAAATTATATTGTAAGTAATATTGAATAAAATGAGTGCTCCAATTATCTAATTTTTTTATTACATTTATTTCAAACTCTGAAAGTTTGATCCCCTTCATTCTTTTCACCTAAACAGTAGTAAGTATTAGTTCCATTTCTCATAGATTTGGCAAGACTTGAGAAAAGGAAATTAAGGAAGGGTTCACAGCTTGAGGATACAGCCCGTCATGGCAGGGCTGTCATGGTACAGGAGTGTGAGATAGCTGTTAACTTGGGATCCACAGTTAGGAAGCTGAGACATGACTGCTGGTTCTCAGCTTGCTTCCTCATTTGTATTCAGTCAAGAACCTCAGCCCTGGAGTGGTGCTGCCTGTATACATTCAAGGTGGGTCTTTCATCCTCAGTTCTTTCTGTAAATGGCTTCACACACCTGTTCAGAAGTGTGCTTCTATAGTGACTTCAAGTTAATTTGACAATGAAGATGAATGTTTGCAACTTGCTTACACTACCCCTGGGTTGATTTCTGCTTCTGCAACTTGAGTAGAATTGACTTTACTATTCAATCTGCTGTGTGACTAGGGCTAAGTTGTATACCTGCAAACATTCTTCTGTTTTTTGTCTCTAACATGATGGTGGTTCCTTAAGTTGGTCAAAGGTGATGTTGAAGAAATTTAGGACATGCATACAATCTTTGGATTTCAGATTACTTAATAATAATTTATTACAAAAAGATAAGAATTGGGAGTGATGGTGTGAATCTTGGTAGTTTGTAAATTAGTCCTGTAATATTCAGGTCTTTTATATTTTCTTCCATAAGACAGGGGTGAATCACTTGCCTTTAGTATCAATGCGTTGTGAAGTGAGTCAGGTTTTAATTTTATATACCATATCACAGATGCCCAGCACACTGTTGTTACTATGGAAACCAGCTTAATTGTCCTTCAACCCATACTCCTGCTGAAGACAAAAGACTATCTGGATCCTGTTGGGTTAAAACAGACTCTTAAGTTTAGCACAGGACATGTACAAGTGACATTAACTGCTTTGCAGAAATTAATTGTTAAATTTCTTCATTATTGTGGGTCAAAAGGCCACATAAATATACATATGGTGTAAAGTCTACATGCCATTATCTGTCTATGCTTTCTGATGTTGTATATTAGGCTTGATCATTTTGGTGTTGATGTACTTTGTTCTGAGTGGTTCTTTTGAATGCAAACCATGGAACCTTGCTAACTCCATGGCCTCTGCTATAGTAACTGTGAGCATTTTAGCAAGGGTATCATGTCAGACTCATGTTCCTGGTCTAGTATTTTAAATGTTAACATTCCTGGGGTTGGAAAGATAGCTTAGTAGTTAAGAGCACTTGTTACTCTTGTAGAGCTCCCAGAACCCAGGTGGTAGTTCATAACCATCCATTACTCCAGCTTTGGTGATCTGATGTCTTCTTCTGACCTTCATGGGTACGATGCACATACATGGTGCACAAATATGCATTTAGGCAAAAAAAATGCTCATCTACAGTAAATATGCCTTAAATAAAATTATTTAAATGTTAATAGTTCTATGTACCTCTACTGAAGTATGAAGAGGATTAGATGCAGAGTTTTTAAGCACTACCTGAACGGCTCTATAGTTTTTTAGAATAATATAAAATATGAAATGTCTGTAAAATGCATCAGTGTTTGAGGCTGTTCCTGAGGAAGTAAGAGTGTGTGTATTGTATTTGGAGCAATTTCAAGAGGCCTAATTTGTTTGTCCTTTGCTTCAAGTCCTTCCTCATGTTCTTATGCCTGACCTCTGATTTTTCCTTTCTTGGGCTCTATCTCTTTGTGTTTCTTTGTTCTTTTGTAATGGCTTTGTTTCTATACTATTATACACTGAAAACCATTCTGTGCCCCCATTTGTCTCAGCAATCTTCATACCTGTTCTAACAGAGTAATCTCTAATGTTTTTTCTTGATTTTAAGAAAGAATACAGATTTGGAAAATACTTACTGTTGGAAAATACTAGAGTTTATTTCTTGATATTGAAAATGGAGCAGTTAGGCTTCAGAAATAGGTTTATTCTCTCAGCTACATCTGCTGTTCAAAGTTGTAGATTCCTTACAGTTTGAAAAAGTCATATTTAAATAGATTCACTAAGAACAAAGTTGATCCTGGACATCTGATGATTTTTCAGGATTTTTTTTTTACAGATATCAGTGAAAATGGGATGTAAAATCAAATATTCTTCAAATAAGTTCTGTATTATACATGATTGCTCACACCAACACATTTTATTTAAACCTAAAATAGGTCAAATGATTGATTAAGCTTATACTATAATGTCATTAAACAGGTTTAGGAAAAGTTGTGGGAGTATCTATTGTCTATACTAAGAAGTAGATAATTATAATTTGTTGAACCCAAGTTGCTAAGTGTCAAAATGACTGTCAGATATCACCCTGTTATAGTCCATGAGCCAATTATCCTAGTCCCCAAAATAGGGAAGAGACTATGGTTTAAGTCATAAACATTCTCTTGGGAAGCAAACGATGCTTGTGACTTCAGGACTGAACCTGTTTGGCTAGCTTTAATATAGAGACTGATCTGTTGTCAACAAACCTTTTCTTGTAAGAGCTTACTTGTCGGGTATATCCTGACTGTGTGACCACTGATTAATCTTCTGACCTAAACCTATTAGTGTCATGGAGCCACAGAATTAGTTTATTCAAAATATTTGTACAAGAAAAATATATTTTAAGTATATGAAAATTTTACCTATGATTCATCACAGAGGATAGATCACATTGTTTGTCTTTAAACATAAGGTTAGTATTGCATATACTCTGAGAATTCTCTTTTAACTCACACCTTAAAGATGTGAGTTAAGGGCAGCAAAAGGAATCTTCTGTTTACTGTGAAAACCTAAATCATCATTTCCTTAAATTCATATCTTAATGAGTATTTAACTTACTGTTTTAGTAATAGTAGCTTATAACATATATAATAGTTGCAGTGTGAAGTGTTAGAATTTAGAATTTTTAAAATTAAAATTTCTCAAAAATTTCATTCATGAATACTGTATTAGTACCATTTCCATTCCCCCTTCTTCCTGCTCGATTCTCTGGTGTTCCCCCAACTCCCTCTCAAGATCAAGCTTCTTCAACTTTAATTATTATTGTTGCATTCACAAACAAAATAATTACATATATAAAAATGCGACCTATGATTCCATTTAGTGTTGCTCATATATATTTAAGGCTAACCAGTTGGGATTAGAAAACCTATCAAGTGGCTCATCTCAAGAAACAAATCATTCTCCCTCTTTTAGGAGCTGTCAGCTGCCTGTCTAGCTCTTCATCTTGGGTTGGGGCCTTTGAGAGTCCCCCATCCATGTGGATAAGTATTGCTCTCAGAATTTAGAAAACTTTATGCCATTCAATTCATATCTTAAAGAGTGAAAGTGTACATTTACTAGATAAAAATCTAGTAAGCACATGCTTTTAAATTCCTCTGGTACATAGCAAACATTAAACTGACTCTTTTAAGTTTATTTAAAACTTAAAACCTTACAATCCTAATTGTTAGTTTTGCAAGTTTGTGGAAAACATTTTTCACAATTTTTTATGAAAAAATTCATAATTTTCCTGAAAAATTCCATAATTCACAAAATCTAAACTGCAATTAATTAGTAAGTACATAGGTATGATGGTTAATCATCATTTTCAACTTGATGGAATTTACAGTTGCCATGAAAACATACTTCTGGGCAGGTCTCTGGGCAGGTACTTCCAGAAAGTGTTAACTGAAAATAGAATAACAATGGCATAGTTTGGAGTTCAGAACCAAATAAAAGGAGGACAGCAAGCTGAGTCCCAGACTTTCTCTCTGCTTCCTGATGTGTGTGCGATGAGACTGACTGCCTCATGCACCATGTCTTTCTCCCATGAAGGACTGCACCATCAACTGTGAGATGAAACCCGCACCCCCCCCCCCCCCCCCATTCTCTAAGCTGCTCTTTCAGGTAGCTGTCAAAGCAACAAGTACCAATGCAGATAACTGGTACTGAAGAGTGGGGGCCATTGCTGTGATACACCTAACCCATGTGAGGCCCAGCAGGCTGTGGCGTTGGTTTCTGGGAAGAATGTGGAAGAGTTTGGAAGTTTGGGCCAGAAAATCCCCAGCATGTCAAAGGTAGAGCATAATACACCATTCCAGTAGCTTTAGGTAAGAGGGCCAGGCAAATAGCATGACATCCTGCCCTAATAACTCAGTTAAGAACTAGGCCTTGGTCCCTGCTTCTTGGAACCAAGCAGGCAGTTTCTGAAAGAGCCACAAAAAAAGGACAATTAATCTCCAATATCCCCCTGACAGCAAGGACAAGGAGGCCTGGTACATGTAGTACCAGGCCAGGCGAGGTCTGAGCCACAATCAGTAGATAACCAAATAAGGACAAAGCCTGAGACTTGTCCAGGCCTGCCAAAAAATTGAAAACTTTGACCAGCTCTGACCAGCCCCTGACTAGCCCTGATCAATTAGAACATACTAATATGGTTGTCACTTGCTTAAGCCAATCATATCTAAAATGACCTAACTGCTCTGGGAACTCCCCTTAGCTGTGCTTAAAAGGAGCCCACACGTCCTTCTCTGGGTCATCGCCATTTTGTCTTCGTGTGGGATGGCCAAATGTCTCCATAAAACTGACTGTGGTGGCATTTTCTTGATTCACGATTGATGTCAGAGGGTCCTGTTAGTTGTGTGTTGTTACCACTTTTGGGCAGGTGGTCCTGGCAAGAAAGTAACTTTAGGAAGACACAAGAGGAGGAAGCCAGTAAGCAGTTTCCTTCCATGGCCTCTTCTGCACTTCCTGTTTTCGGATTCCTGCTTTGAGTTCCAATCCTGAATTCCCTCACTGGTGGATGATAAGCTGCAAGCTGAATGAAACCTTTTACTCTCTAGGTTGTTTTTGATCATGGTGTTCACCACAGCAACAGAAACCTAACTCAGACAGAGTCTTTCCAGGAAGAATTCCCAGTGTTGTAGCCTATAACAGTTTGACCAACAAGATAAACGATGTGGGATTGGTATAATTCAAAGTATAAAGTAAATGTCTATGGTCTTAAATTATAGAAATGATTCACTGAATAATGGATGTGTGTGTGTGTGTGTGTGTGTGTGTGTGTGTGTGTGTGTGTGTGTGTGTGTACAATAGGTGAGTTTGCATATAGAAGAATCCCAAATGGCTAAGTGAACTATTGTTCTCTCAGGGAGGTGGACCTGAACAGTTCAGTAGTTAAGTGTTGGGTGTACTCAAAGCTTTGTTTCCAAAAGCACAGTACATACAGGGAAAAAGGAACAACCCACATCACTGCAGTGAAGAAATCTGGCAAACTGCTCTGTCAGGGACCAAGGTTTACATCATCAGCTTAAATCTTGTTGACAGGGAGTACCTGTGAGGTACGTATGCTACCTATAGCACACATAGTAAAGAGAAATGATAACATTTCTCCTCTGTTGGTGTCCTCCTAAAATCCCTAATTCTAGTTTAACCAGGAGAAAAACAAGTCTCTCCACAGTCAAGGCCATCCTGCAGGTTCTTCCCAACCATCACTTTCCAGGCATTCAGGGCATTAACATAAAGGAGAGTTTCAGAGATGTTTCAGTCCAGAGGAGGCTGAGGGGACACAGTGACTGAGTGTAAGGTGGTATTCTACGTGAGCTCTGGTGGCACGAATGAAAACCAAAGAAATGGACTTTACTTTATGGTAATGTAATAACATTGGGTTATCACTTGTGGATACTGTGAGCCTGGGTGTGGGGCACACTTTAATTCCCAGCACTGTAGCAGTCACTATTGTATGATGCTTATGGTGTTCTGATAAGTTTATAGTCCATTGGCCTTCTGAGGACACCGATCTGTCTTTTATTTTACCCTAGCATTCCATTAGTACCAATCAGTTGGTTACAGTTTATCTGTTACTTTTAGAGGTAAATATATTGGTATCTAGAGATAGTTGAGAAATGTGTACATTTGTATGTAATTAAATGGGAGGTATTTTATGTTTGGATAATTATGTACAGTAAAGGATGAGATGGCTTTAAAGATTGAATTTTAAATTTGACTGTGATTCAGGAAATGTAGATAAAGGTATGCCACACAGCCAAAAAATGTTTGTAATTATAAGATATGAATAAAAAAGCAAATTATCTATGTTATAAATAATTGTTATGGGCATAAAATAGTTGTCCACATTTTGGTTCCTGAAAAATAATTACCCCATAGTTTGTAAACATAAAAATAAATTGTATAGTTTATGGATAAAGAGACAAATTGTGAAGCAATTTCAGCTGAGAAAAATCCTCTCTCAAAGTAGAACTGAATAGTTGTCAAAGTATCTAAAGAGCATTATTGGTTTAATAAATTATCCATTAAGATACACACTTCAAATGCTTTCTGTAGTGGAGGATTAATAGTTGCCTATGTAATTGACTTTTAACTAAAATAATGTCATCTTTCTGCTAAAGTTCACATTAGATGTTTTATAACTTAAAAGCATGGATTTGAGAGAGATTAATATTTTTGATATTTTGCAGTCAATTTTTCATTTTAATATTTTAAAATTCATTTACTGTATAATACCATATCTTTGTACTGTTTGCTTCTAGATTTCTGGGCTTCAAGCAACACTGAAGAACATAGACGTAGGACATATTCAGGCACCTTTAATCAAAGGTAAGAATATAATACAATGAAAGTATAATTTCTTGGTCCTGATATGATGACATTTCAAATGTATCTATGGCCAGCTTTCTAGATATATTTAGAAATGAATAAAGGTTGTGGAAGCTAATTTGTAAATAAGTAGAATAATAGGAAATCTAGTTATATCATAAAGACTTATTTTTAAAAAAATATGTTTAGAAGTTTAAAAACTTCTTGTCTGAACATGATGAAATTTCCTGCTACCTGTATAGCTTTCCTTCCACAGATGTAACTAACTAATGGGTAAACAAGGCAACCATACAGTGCAAGTCAAAGAAGATGAATGACAGAAAAAAAAATACAGACATAATTCCACAGTCAACAAACCAAGCCTCATGGAGATGGGTGTCCAGAACATGGCAGTCTTGATGAAATGAAAAGGGAAATCTCTTAGTTCAGAGTTGTCAAAACAATTAGAATCTGTAGAAAACCTACTGGAGAAGGAGTTGGAATGAGGAGTGGCTGTTTCTGTGGGGGGTTGAAAGTGGGTCCTCAGTTGATGACAGGGCTCCATGTACACCACAGATCTACTTGAGGCTTGCAAGAGAGGGACATTTATCTAGGCCTAAGTAAGAAGAGACTAGAAATTCTCCAGGTTAAGCCTTGATAGAAGATACTGCAAGACTAGCTATGCCTGGTGGACAGGCTACCTTTGTGTGTCTTTAACAGCACATTAACGTGCAGCATCCCATACTTGCCCTAAAAACTTGTGACAAAGCTCATGGAGGGTTCATAGTAGAATGAGTTTGGAGCTGGATTCTTACCAAGTTAGTGGCTTTGGAAAACTTAGGGCCTTACATGAATTTACCCAAACACAATAAAATTAAGCCTTGAATTTCAAGTTGATCAGCCCCAAATTAAACTGCCTTCTTAAATAAAAGCCATCATCCTTCAGATGAAGACGATTGCTCAGAATCTCTACAATGTGTCATCTCTTTGTCCAGTCCATAACTAAACATTTGATTATGTATAGAAATATATGACTCATAGTCAAGATAAGAAATAATAATTGGCCAGGCGGTAGTGGCACAAGCCTTTAATCCCGTCATTCAGGAGGCAGAGGCGGGTGGATCTCTGAGTTCAAGTACAGCCTGGTCTACAGAGTGATTTCTAGGGCAGCCAGGACTACACAGAGAAACCTTGTTTCAAAAGTCAAACCAAAATAAAACAAAAAATGAAACCAACTCCGAAATATTTCAGGTATTGAATTTAACAGATGAAACAATGTGCAACAAGCATTTGTGGATATGTTCAAGGACTTAAGAGAAAATATATCAATAAGTGAACAGATGAGGTGTCAACAGGAAACAGAAATATTTTTGTACACACACACACACACACACACACACACACACACACACACACACACCACAACACACCTATGCAGACACAAGAACAGAATGAATTTGTACAACTTGAAAATACAACAACAAAATAAAAAATTAGTGAATACAAAGCCTGTAGACTCAGTCACTTTTTAATGTATATTTGTTAAAGTGTACTGGACACTAAATTTGAAATGATGTATCACTTAACTTGAATGACTTGTTTTAAAGATAGGAGAGAGGAGGCTCTAAGATTTAGAAAAATGCCAAAATTAGTATTTCTTTAATAAACTTAATGTCCCAATGTTTCCAGAGGCCTACTCATTGTATTTGATTAGTAAAGGCTTAAAAGTAATATTCTCATATTTAAACTCTTCTTTTCCTTGATTTTGTTGTTCCTTTGCATATATTTATCTTGTCATACTTGAATTAATTATTAAATATATTATTCTGGTTTGGTATAAGGTGGTAACTTCACTACAAAATTTACTTATTTTTTTCTTTTGAGATGGTCTCAATATATACCTGGCTGTCCTAGAATTCACTATGTAGACCAGACTGGCCTTGAACTCACAAATATCCACCTGTTTCTTCCTCCAGTGTGCTGGAACTATAGGCATTTACCTCCATGCCTAACCCCCAAATTCTTCTTTTTTTTGGACTTTTTTATTGATTCTTTGTGGATTTTTACATCATGCATCCCAATTCCATTCATCTCCCCATCCCTTCCTATCTACTGTCTGCCCTTGCAACCTCCCCCCAAAATAAAATAAAATTTAAAAGAAAAACAAATAAACAACCTAACATACCATAAGAAAAATCTCAGTGTGGAAGCTGCAGTGTGATAGTGAGTCACACAGTATACCCTTCAGTCCATACATCCTTACTTGTGTTCATTGCAGTGAGTCATTGGTCTGGTTCGAGGCCTCTGACTTCTGCTACACCCTCAATACTGGGCCCTCACTGGGACTCCTCTTGGATATCCTGTTCTTGCTCTATGTCATGGAGATCCTGCAGCTTTGGGTGTGCAGGTCAGGCACCTTCGAATGCTCCCGTAGTTCATAGATGACTTGGATGTTGGCGTGGGCCAACTTATAGCCCTGGTTCTGAGCCTGGGTGGTAGCTAGGTTGGTCAGTCTGCCAGTTTTCCCTCATCAGTGCCACTTGGGCAAGCTCTCAGCATTGCCCAGGTTAGCTGACATACTGCAGCAGGCGGCAAGAAGCTGGGCAAGAAGCTGGGCCATTTCTCCTGCTCTCACACCTCTGGCTCACCTGCATCCACACCACCAGGGCCAGCTCTCCTGTTTTGTTCAGGCAAGAGCCTGTTCTCCTGAGTACTTCAGTTGGCAAGATGCGGGGCCAGCTCTCCCATTCTTGTGTCCTCGAGGCCCCCTCTCCAGCTTGCTGCCAGTGGCAAGCGGATGGGGAGGGCATCTCTCCCTAGTCCATTCCACCAAAGAGCAGATGAGGTGTAGGGTCAGATCTCTCACACATGTTCACAGAGCCAGATCACCTGTGCCCTTGTCAATAGGGTCAGCTGTATTGTGCTGCCCAGGCAAGGCCCAAAGGCCGCTCTCTGAATCCTGCAGCCAGTGAGGGCCAGGGTCAGCTTTCCCACTCTTATGAACTCAGACATGGCCCCGGCCTTATTTCTTTTTTCTTTTTTTTTTTTTTTCGAGACAGGGTTTCTCTGTGTAGCTTTGCGCCTTTCCTGGAACTCACTCTGTAGCTCAGGCTGGCCTTGAACTCACAGAGATCCTCCTGGCTCTGCCTCCCGAGTGCTGGGATTAAAGGCGTGTGCCACCACCGCCCGGCCTTATTTCTAAACAACACAATGAGGGCTCATTCATAAATTATAAGAAATTAAGAATTCTAATAGCTCCGCATCTAACGTGTTTATAAAGAGAAAATTATTAAAAATGTCTTCACAAGTTCATAGAGGAAGTAAGTATCCTATGTAGTAAGCAAAGTACTTCCTATTTTATTACATATCGATGAGCAGAACACAGTATTCTTTATCATACTCCTCACTCAGCAACTGATCGTACTCCTTACTTCACACAGGGTAATTAATGAATGTTTAAGTTTGTTTTGTTCCTGCTCAGGATCATGTCATGAGATGCTTGTTTTGTGTGATGAAACCTAGATGATGTGGTCTAATTTAGAAATATTTAATAATACCTTTCAAATATTTTTTTTGCACTCTGTATTTTTTGACTTTCAGTTGTATGTGTGATCAGTTTTGATTGTATATATCCTCCTATCTTAAATATTTTCTAATTATCCCTCTGGGTTAAATTATGAGTAATTTCGCCGGGCGGTGGTGGCACACGCCTTTAATCCCAGCACTCGGGAGGCAGAGCCAGGCGGATCTCTGTGAGTTCGAGGCCAGCCTGGGCTACCAAGTGAGTTCCAGGAGAGGCGCAAAGCTACACAGAGAAACCCTGTCTCGAAAAAACAAAAAAACAAAAAAACAAAAAAAAAATTATGAGTAATTTCTTCAGTAACATTTTTCAGTTAAATAATTCTTTTCACAGCTGTTTTTGCTCTATAGGGGAATCAGAGACTCACAACGGTAGGTGTTAAGAAGTTTGTGTTAGATGGGAGTACTCATGAATCTCTCCAGGGACCTGAGCATATTCAGTTAGCATTGGTTGAACATGTACATACATGAAGGATAGTTGCTGAACTTCAGCATGGAAAGGCACAACAAATTGTATTGCTTGCCTACTTGCTATTTTAAAAACCTTATCTAGGAATCATAAATTCCTTAAAAAATGTTCATTACAGCTATACAGATTTTGAAACTGTAGGTCACTAGCCAGGACTGTATGGGTTGTTACTAAAAAGCATCAGAAGGTAAGCCTACAGATGTGGCCATGTCTCCATAGACTTCGTTGGATATTACTGAACATTAATAAATATTAAATGCAGCTATCCATGAACTCTGAAAAGACAGTAGTGTCTGGACCTCTCATTCATTATAAAATATTTGTGTAATAAGGAAAATATTCATGTGACAGCGAGTAGAAATCATGTCTATATTACTATATTAGGAAATGAGAACCATTATTTCTCTTCCTGTTTAATGTCTATTCTGTAATGTTTATTCTCAGAATACTGAATATCCTGAAATTTACTAGAATATATATTTTTGTAATTTCATTTTGCTTACTGAATAGTAACATGCAGTAATAAATCTATTCCTTTCAGATGTTCATCTATCACATTTGCTTCCTACTTCCTTGCCTTTTAGTTTCCTTTAGAAAGTGATGCTTCAACGTGGTCTTAGTACTGCCTGAAATCTGCTTAGATTCCTGCAAATATCTCTTTGAGAGCTGAATAATTTCCTCCACTGTCTTCTTCCTTCTTCCCTGTGGATATTACTGGACCATTCTTTTTTTCATATATAAAAACAGCAAAAGCTCGTGACCTTTGCAGGATCATTGACACAATTGCATGAGAGAATACGTGTAATATTTTGTGACAGTAGCAGTTATGCTGTAAAAGATTAACCAGTAGAAGATGATTATTATCTTTCAAAATTGTCATCGTTCTGAAGGCTGTGGTCTTGGAGAAGTAAAGGATCAGGAGTAAAAAAACTTCCCTTGTCTCAACAGTCTGTACCTATTGCTCTCCCCAGCATGTGCCTGAAACTTGGGCTTCCAAGTGTCTTTGGGATCCTCATTTGCAGCATCACTGAAGGAGGATTGGCATTCTAGATGCCCAAGTCTGCAGTGCTTGGTGATAGTCTCTTCTGTGTTATGTGAGGTTGTTTTTAATATGTCTTTTCTCAAGAACTGCTACAGGTTAAGAAGCTGAGGTTAGGAAAGAAATGATTTGCCAACTGCATGCACTTCCTTGCTCTGATAGTCTGCAGGTTCTATAAGACTTGTAATCCAAACATGGAGAGGCAGAGGAGGATTACAAGTTCTACGCTGGCATGTGCTACACACAAAAATATTTAGTAAAAACGAAGAAACAACTCCCAAACACAAATAAAACTTAGTTTATATTTAATGTACATAATGGCAACTCTCATAATATTTTAATGCAAAAAATAACATGTATTTGAACCATACGACAGTCTCAGACCCTCAGATCCTCCTTTCTGCCTTAGCTCTTCTATTATTCCCTTTCTGTTTCCCCAGTATTCTTCTTGGCTGTCAAGGCATTTCAATCTATGTTCTCTCGTCTCTGTCTCTGTCCCTCTGTCTCTCTCTCTCTCTCACAAGCATATAGGCACACACATAACTTAAGGAAGAAAGGCATAGTATATTTGTCTTTCTGAGTCTGGCTTATTTAGCTAAATATGACAGTCTCCAGTCCTATCCATTGTGCATATGAATATATATTACTTTTCTATTAGCCATTTATTTATTGGGAGATACCCCTGATTTGGTTGCTGTGAATAAAGCTGCCATCAATATGGATGTGTAGGTATCTCTACAGTTTACAAACTTCGATTCACTTGAGAGAAGTGTAGTTGAAACATTTGGTAGTTCTAGTTTATAGTTTTTGAAGAACCTTCACACTGATTTCTGTACTGCCTGGAATAACTTACATTCCCACCAACAATGTGTAAGACTTCCTTTTTCCTATATCCTCATCCATATTTGTTCATGTTTTTCCATATAGCCATTTTGACAAGGATTAGATGGAATCTAATGTAGCTTTGATTTGCATTTCAGTGATAGCCAAGGAATTGAAGTTTTTTTGATATATTCATTGGCCATTTATATGTAATCATTTTGTTTTTTGAACTCTTTATATATTCTGGATATTAGTTACATGTGAGGTATATCTCCTGTTCTGTTCACTGTGTCTTCAAACAATCTTTTTCTTTTTTAAAGGAAAGAAAAATTGCCTTTGCTGTGCACAAGCTTTTTGGCCTTATGGGATTCCATTTGCCAATTCTTTATAAAATAAATTAATGTGTGTGTGTGTGTGTGTGTGTGTGTGTGTGTGTGTGTGTGTGTGTGTGCATGTGTACTTAGAAGCCAGGTGACATGCTGAGTGTGGTGGCGCATGCCTTTAATCCCAGCACTCTGGAGGCATAGGCAGGTGGATCTCCGTTAGTTCAAGGCCAACCTTTTGGTCTACAGAGTGAGTGCTAGGACAGCCAAAATTACATAGTGAGACCCTGTCTAAAAAAAAAAAGAAAAAAAAAAAGAAAGAAAAGAAGTCAGATGACAATTTCATACATGTAGATTCCAGGGGCCAAACTCAGGTCACCAGGCTTACATGACCAGTGCCTTTACCCTCTGTCTGTGGGTTATCTTACAACTTTCAGTTCTTGTCATAATTCCTTTTTTAGGATTCCAAAACAGGCCTTGCCTATGTCCTCAAGGATATTTTTCCTCTAGCAGTTTCAGAGTTTCATGTTTTTTTTAAGGTTTTTGATCCACTTTGAATTGATTTCTGTATAGAGGAAAGAGACATGGCTCCCTCCCTCCCTCCCTCCCTCCCTCCCTCGTTCCCCCCCCCCCCCCCCCAAGATAGCCAAGGCATTGAAATCATCCAGATACTTTTGTCTTTATCATTTTCCTCTCTACCATAAATCTAGTGGTATAACTCACAGTATTGAGCTGTCTCTGTGTTAGTGAACATGCCCTCATTAGCTATTTTAAACAAATCAGCTATGGAGTACAGGTTCTATGTACCTACATGTGTATCTTGGAGAGATGTGAATACAGAGGTCTTTTGCTGTCACTCCCCTTCCTCATCATTCCATGACACTCCTTCTGTCTCAGGAGATCTGGGAGACAGAGTTTCAAGTATTGCCATGTGCTCTTATGTTCTTTGCTACCTGTTCTCAATATCGAGAGGCATGAATTAAAACTTACATAATCTTTAAAAAATTACCATTTATTTAAAATATTGCCATTCATTTTCATTTTTCCTTTGGCCTCATTCGGCTTTGTTAATAAGCACACAGAGTCTCATGATGGAGGAATCTGAATATGTCATGACTGGAGACTGTTTTCACACTCTGTAGCTGCTTCACAATCCAATTTTATTAATCTTCTAAGGTAATGCCACCTTATATTTTGGGGAACTGAATTTTGAAACCCAACTTAAAGCATTTTAAATTGTTATATTATTAGATTAGAACCTTTAAAATTCATACAGTTATAGGATCTTGGAATATTTTGGTTACAATCATATTTTGAAAAAAATACAATGGGACTGTGCATGGCGGTGTGTGGGAGCCCGTTCTCGGGTTCCTCGTGGCTTTACCCAGCAGGTCCGCATAGAGGATGATTAGGACCACGGGCCTGAGTGCAGGTGTCTGAGATGGTCTGCACTTGGCTGTGCTGGGGGAGGAGGTCTTTTGCTCCACCCCTTGGCGTCTCTATAAAAATCCTGGGGTAGAGACAGTTGGGGCCTATTGGAAAAGGTTCCAGGCCTTCTCGAGGCTATCCTTTATTTTCTATCTGTTTATCTCCGCAATAAATCCTTCTATCTAATATTTTCTGCTGCTCACACTCAAGAAAACTCTGGGGAGCTGTGGGACTGGTGAGTAAATGCCCCACAGTGGTGCATGCCTTTTTATGTTGTGGGGGAGGGGCATGCTCACCTTTAATCCTATCACTCAAGAGGAAGAAACAGATAGGTCTCTGAGTTCAAGGCCATCCTGGTTTACCTATTAAGTTATATTCACAGTGAGACAAGCCCCCTGTTCTCTGTCTCTGTCTTTCTGTCATACACACACACACACACACACACACACACACACACACACACACACACACACACAAAGGAGGGGGTACTGGAAAAATTGCTACATGGTTAAGAGCACTTGTTGCTCTTGCAGAAGACCTGGGCTTGCTTACAAATATCTCTATGGTTACAAACATCTCAAATTCTGGCTCCAGGAGATCTGATGCCTCTTTTGTACTCTGTGGGCACCAGACATGCATGCAATGCATATACATACACGTAGACAAAACACTCATACACATAAAATAAATAGAAAATAACATTTATTTTGCGTGCATGTGTGTGTGTGTGTGTGCACATGCAAGTGTGTGCCACCACACAAGGGTGGAGGTCAGAGGACAACTTGTGGGAACCTGTTCACTCCTCTCACCATGCGGGGCCTGGAGATCAAACTCATGTCAACAGACATGGCGGCAAGTGTGGGTAAACACTGGCCTATTTCTCGAGCCTATGTAATCATCTTATACAGGTAAATTTGAATTCTCTTATAATGCATGTATTATAAGAACCTTGGACTATACATGCTTGTTATAATCAGATCTTTTACAAGTAAATGTTTTGTGCTTGTCCTGCAGTTGGTCACAGTTGTGAGAAGGAAAACGAGTCAGAAAGCCCTACTCAGAAATGTCCTTATGAAGCCAAGGAAGAAAATGGACATAAGTCAAAGATAAAGAACGAAAGAAAGGTATGCCATTTGTTTATATTCCTTCTAGCTGGTATTTCACATTCTGATCATTACAGGAGTACAGTTCATACAGTATCAGTTTAAGTACTGAAGAGCAGTTCAGAGTTTTTTTTTTTTTTTTTTTTTTTTTTGGTTTTTCGAGACAGGGTTTCTCTGTGTAGCTTTGCGCCTTTCCTAGGACTCACTTGGTAGCCCAGGCTGGCCTCGAACTCACAGAGATCCGCCTGGCTCTGCCTTCCGAGTGCTGGGATTAAAGGCGTGCGCCACCACCGCCCGGCCAGAGTTTATTTATTACAAGCTCTTTTACAGGGGAAAATAGAGCTGGGGCAAACAGTACTAGCAACTTGTTAACTTAGGTACATGCTTACTAGTGGTCAGGGCAGCTTAGTGAGTCTTTGTATACCTACCTCACCACAGTCCCAGGAGTCAGCAAACCAGTTACCTCTGTCCTAAAGAGAAGGCTCCTTCTGTTCCTGTCATCTAACATAGCTTCCCTCATCTTCCTTATAAAGACCATAGAATAAAATTATGCACCATTTAAAAATTTATCTGTATACTCAATAGAATTCCTTTGCAATCAGAATAGTAATTAAAATCTTACATAAATGTATATTCAAAGAAATAAAAACATGAGAAAGAAAGAATGTAAAACATGTTGGGGGGGTTGTATTAGTTATGTATCTGGTTACTGTGATAAAATACCCAAGGGAAGCAATTAAAGGGGTAAAGGGTTTATTTATAGCCACAGAGTAAGGGAGTCCTGGCAGCAGGAATTCAAGGCACTTGATCAGATTGCATCTGCAGTCAGAAAACGGTGAGCAATGATGTTGTCCTCAACTCTTTCCCCTTTTTATGCAATTCCAAACTTCATCTCAGGCAGCGAGCTGTGCTGCCCACATTGAGGGCAGATTTTTTCACTGCAATTAGCCTAATGAAGATAAACCCTTATAGGCATGGGCAGAGGCTGAGCTCATCTAGTAAACCATCTCTATGTGTGCGTTGGCTTGTTTCTTAGGAGACTCCAGATCCCATGAAGTTGACAATCAACACAAACTGTCATAGGAGTATAGTTCCTTGTTATGAAAATTCTGTAAAATGATGAATGTGGTAATAGTTTTGCATATAAAAATGTTTGTTCCTAGAGAGTACTGTAACATATTCATTTACTTTTATTTTATTTAATTTTTAAAGATTATTTGTATTGTGTGTATATATGTGTATGCAGTGTGTGTGTGGGTACACATGCTTGTGCATGGACTAGGCTAGAACGTGAATCAGATGCCTTGGCACTTGAGTTACAGGCATTTGTGGAGGATCCTGGCTGATTATGTGGGTACTGGAATCCTAGCTCTGCCTCTCATATGTTCTCTTAACTACTGGATTATGTGTCTAGCCTTGGCACTTATTTTTAAATGAGAACATTTTTTATTATAATAGCTTTTAGTAGTGGCCTAGAAGAAAACAAACTTTTATAAATTCAATGTATATCATGTACATACATAATTCCAATTACATTTTTCTCCTTTGGAATATTGATTGGAATGAGGTATTGCACAAAATATTAGAGTAAAGTAAATAATAAACACTTTCAGGTTATGTTAATCCTTTGACACAGTGACTTTGATGATCTTCAGGTCAGTGTTCTCTTCCTCCATCATCACTGTTCATTTGAGGTGGATTCAGTCAGGTCAGAACTTCTGGTCATGGTAGTCCTCATCACTTAGGACATTCTCTTCCTCTGATATACATACACATATAGTCTCTTGGGGTTGATATGACATGCTTAGTGACAATTGGGTGAGCCATTTGCTAACTCTTGTAAGTCCTTACATTTGTAATGCAAGGTTGACATGTTATATGACAAAAAGCTTTGAAAATACAGAACATATGAATTGTATATCAGTGCAGAGGATATTTTTCTTTGGTGATGTATTACCACACATAACAAAGTACCTACAACATGATAAAATAATCGAGGCCTCAAAGAGGCTGAACTATGTAGAGTGAACCTGTCTCTTCCTTCCTCTCTGACCAATCATTTTTATTAATATTTAAATTTGCATGTATATATTATGGTAACACATCACAGTATATTTGTTTCATTCACTTTAGATGGCACTGTGGGCTCTGTTATGGAAATACAGACATATTTAAAGCATTTCACTGAACTGAGTTACACCAGTATGCATATTTGTATAATTGGTAGTGCTTGTATTTGTTTTGTAGCGCTAATTCTATTTTCTGTAAATTAATAAGTGAATTTAATAAAACACCATTGAAATGTAGTATATGTAAATAAGTATGATTTCTTGCAGAATGAACTTTTTATTAGAGCCATAGAGTAGCAAATGGGCCCTGAAACATATCTTTTAAATGTAGCCACTCCTTCACACCTTATTAACTCCCATTCAGCCGCCCTTCCTACTTGGTTTCTACCTTGCTCTTTATGGGCTGCCTTTTTGGTTTTCCTGAAGTATCTCCTGGAGTAAGTTTCAAGGGTTCTATGGAGAGAAATCATCTCAGTGTTTACACACCTGAAAGAGTCTCATTTTGCTTTGAGTTAATATTCAGCTGATAATAGTTATCAATTTAAATTAGTTCCTCGCTTGCATTTCACGGGAACAGCCTTGTTATCTTAGACAATGCTGCTGTTTGCTTTTGGTGTGATTCTTGTTTTGTGGGAAAATAACCAAGACTGTATGTGATGCAGCATATTAATGTGCCAATATTTTGAAAAAAAAATGTGACAACGCTGATGCTTAACTATGACCCGAGGAACTTTCAAGCTGATTGGTGAAATAATTCTCCCATATTTCTAGATGAAAATTAATTTCTGGCTTTGTGAGACTAGTTAAGTCCAAGGTCTTAGGTACAAAACCTGGCTTCGGATTAGTGACATAGAATTAGAAGACCAGGTGTGTGGTTTATGTAACATTACAGCTCTGTGTTTGATGTGGAGTTAACTCTCTCATTTCTTTGCCAAGAGCTTCTGGACTCAGGGTACAGAGATTGCGATGATGGCGGAGTGCGCTCCTCTTCTCTCTCTTTCTGCTTTAACTGGTTGAAGCTGGAAAAGGAAGAGGATTTAAGAGGACTGGAGAACTTAGATTTTGACTTGACCCACTTTGTGGTGACTTAGAGTACTTTGGGCCTGCCAGACACTGAAAGTCAGGTGACCTATGTCATGAGACCTTCATACTCACCCACCAGCTTCTCCTAGAAACTCCTTGTCCTGTGGCAGCTCAGAGCTTCTTTCTATCTGTGTCCTTTGCCATTTCAGGCCACCCTCTTGAATACCTGTTAAAATCGACTGTAGGTCAGTATTCCTCCAGGCATCCCAGTCCGTTGCCATAATTAGAAGGGAAGTTTGACTTCCCTTGTCAGTAAGATCTTCATCTTACTGTTATAGACTGCAGGTTAGACACCAGTCTGCAGTCTGCTTCCCAGGTATAGACAACAAGCATGAGACGCCCTGCGGCAGGGTCCTCACAAAAGGTTTGGACTATGACTCAGGTCCCTAAGTCTTAGAATAGGCCTCAAGTGAAAGTTTTCCCTACAGAGGTTCTTGTGTACTCTCCATTCCCATGTTCTCTAATGTCTTCTGTTATTGATATTTATGAAAAGTTTAAAAGAATCAACTCCTTTTAGTAAATTCTTTAAGATTTTGCAAGTAGCCAAATACTGCTGGAAAACAAAATATGGTGTTCTTTCTAAAAAGTCATATGAAAACATACTACTGTGCCTTGCTAAAATATATGTTTCTGGGAGACGTCTAACTTAATGTCTGTAGGTATTTTTCTTATTTCTTTGGGTGTTTTTCTTTTTTAAAGAGTTGTCAATTATAGCAGACTGTAACAGGATGAAGGTACAAGTTTGTTTGCTTCTGATTGCCATCTCTAAAATAACATCGAACTTTTTATTCTTTAGCCCATAGAGTTATTTTATCACAGGGCGTTTCATTTCTATTATTCATTTGGATCTCTTTCCACTTCTAAAACTAGTAATAGCCTTCTCAAAACAGTATTTCGTAAGCCTTATGTTCCCTCCATATTCCCATCTCTTTGGTTTGCATTTTGATGTATCATTTGAACATTGCCTTCTGGTTGCCTATTGGGGAAATGACTTCATTCAATTTATCATGATCAACCCACTGAATTTGTTGTTATTTTGAGAGCTCTGCTATTAATTTCCTAGATTTATTTCTTATTCACCATTGAGTCTGTTTTCTTAGAAGCCTAGGAATATGTCAGTTGGTGTAATATTTACGTGAACCTCCTTGACTTAGGGTTCCTATTGCTGTGATAAAGCACTCTGACCGAAAGAAAGTTGGGCAGCAAAGAGTACATTTGGCTTCATGCTTCCATATCACTTTCCTCCCTGAAGGAAGTCAGGGCAGGAACTCAAACAAGGCAGGAACCTGGAGGCAGCAGCTGTTGTAGAGGCCACAGAAGAGTGCTGCTTACTGGCTTGCTCCCATGGCATTCTCACCTACTTTCTTATAGAACCCAGGACCACCAGCTCAGGGGTGGTCCCACCCAATGTGGCTGGGCCTTTCTACACAGACCACTATTAAGAAAAGATGCTATAGACTGGCCTACAGGCCAGGATTATAAAGACCTTTTCTCATTTGAGAACCCCTCTTCCCAAATAACTCTAGCATGTGTCAAGTTGACACAAAACTTGCCAGCATACTTCTTAGACTATAATTGGGCTTTTAAAGTATGGTCATCTATTCCATTTACTTCAGAATCTGTTTAACTTCATCTTTCATTTTTATTTTGTCTTATTTTTTTCAACTGGTGTTTTTTTTGAGAATGTGTATAAATATAGTAAGGGTTGGATTAGGTTATTAAACTGTCCACAGTCCATCATTAAAAATACTTATTTATGTATATTGATCAAAACTTACAGACATGATTGTCATCTAAGTTGATGGATGTGGGGCATGGCTATGAGCTGTCTGTTTGTCCGTTAGTGGGTAAGAGACCTGTCTGTCAAAG